CAGAAGATGGCCCTGGCCTTCAACATGGCTCCTTAGAAGAGAAGCAGGAGCTTCCACTCTCCAGGTTATGGCCATTCCCACAAACCAAGGTGTTAATGCAGGCCAAAATGGAGCAGGAACCATTTTGAGGTAAAATGCTAATCAAGCTTGGGAAGGACCACCTGGAGACCCTTCATCAAGTTGTCCAAGGTGCTGATAGGGCGGTTGGAATGGCGCCTTGGCAACTGCTCCCGCCTCTCAGACACAGGTGAGCTCCTTAGGCAGAGAATTCAAGGTCTGTGAAGGAGCCTTGCCATCTCCAGAAAAGCCCGAGAAGTTGCAGGCTATAAAAGCCTTTTTTTTGTGGTTTGATTTTCTTAGCTTGTCCCTGCTGGAGTCTTGAAGGCGCTTAAGGGGGGAACTGGAGTTAACTTAGCTTAAAAGTACGTATTTTTTTACACGTTTTGTTATTTTTTAAAAAAATAATAAAAACAAATGTGTTATTTGTTCTACACACTTTATTGTTTTTTTTTTTTGTTTGGCTGTTTTGTGGTTGACGTCTCCTCTTTTTCTTTTTCTGTATTTTAACTGTATTTAAAAATGCATTGTTTTTTACATTTTAGTTTTTTAAATCACTTTTACGAATAACTCAAGGCGGTTAATATAGCCAGCATGTCTTCCTCTTCCCATTTTCTCCACAACAACCAACCTGTGAGGTGGAATGGGCTGAGAGAAAGACTGACTGCTCCCAAGTCACCCAGATGGCTTTCACGCCTACCTAAGGTGAGACTAGAACTCGCAATCTCCTGTTTTCTAGCCTGATACCATTTCTCAGAGCAGCCATGTTCTTCTTATGTTTTGTTGCAGCTTTGGAAAAGGACCTTTTCAGCATTGCTTTTAGAGTCAAAAGTCATTTGAGAGTGAGAAGGGAAGGAAGGGAGGGAGGGAGGGAGGGAGAGAGAGGGAAAGAAAGAAAGAAAGAAAGAAAGAAAGAAAGAAAGAAAGAAAGAAAGAAAGAAAGAAAGAAAGAAAGAAAGAAAGAAAGAAAGAAAGAAAGAAAGGGAGAGGTAGGAAGAAAGAAAAAGAGGAAGAGAGAAAAAGGAAGAAAGAAGAAAGAAAAAGAGGGAGAGGTAGGAAGAAAGAAAAAGAGGAAGAGGAAGAAAGAAAAAGAAGAAAGAAAGAAAGAAAGAAAAAAAGAAAGAAAGAAAGAAAGAAAGAAAGAAAGAAAGAAAGAAAGAAAGAAAGAAAGAAAGAAAGAAAGAAAGAAAGAAAGAAAAAAGGGAGGGACAGAGCTGGCTGGAATTTTGGCTGTGTGTAATACAATCAGAAACAGATTTAAGACTCATTAATCTGCAAAACACACAAAAGAATCCACCATCTTACTTCTTCGCCCTCAACAAAGGGGCTATCGTTACCTTTGTCTTCTTAATATTGAGAAGAAATGAAGATCTTTTTTCATTTTGCATTTGACTTGCTTAATTGATCTTTTAAGTTCGTTCGTCTTCTGATGAGAACATCTATTGACATCTTCACCTAGGTTTGGCAGGTAGTTAAGGATTAGGGCCTCTTTTCCAGGAAGATTCTTGAGAAGGGAAAACTACTTATTTACTTAGAAATTTACACCATGTTGACACCCTCATCTAGATTGATCAATAGCAGCCATGGGTCTTTTACTCTGCACCAGAAAAAAAAAATGGGGGGGGGAGAGCTTGTCCCAGTCCCACTTCTCCAATTAAAGAACTGGAATGCATTAGCAATTCATAGCAGCCCTTTTGTTACCTCAATTATGCATTAACATGGGTAGTTAAAGCATACTAGGATACCACTCATAAGAGTTTGCTGTCTAGTTAACTATTATCAACCACTGCAGCCTGGATAAGTTACCTCAATTATGCATTAACATGGGTAGTTAAAGCATACTAGGATACCACTGCTAAGAGTTTGCTGTCTGGTTAACTGTTATCAACCACTGCCTCCTGGATAAGTAACATCTGCCCAAGTAGGTCCAACTCTGCTACGTGCTCCAATATGCACTTTCACGTCAGCATTGGCCTAAAGTGTCTCTCGAGTATGAGAAAACTTGTGTGTTAGGCAAAAAACAGATAATAGCAAAGTTCCTGCAGGTAGAAACCGTTGACCACCGGAAAACATAAAAATTTACCTTGATCTCAAGGTGTGTCAGCTTCTCTCCAGCAGTGCCCATGGAGAGGAATGTCCAGAGCTATAGCCCAACACTCTTTGACCATTAAGCCCATGGAACAGACGAGGCAGTTCTCCATTCATCAAAACAGGACCGTGTGAAAATCCCGTGTTAAGACTGCCCTTTGCTCAGCAAGATGGGTTCCCCTATCACTCCAAGCAGTTTATTAAAAAAAAACAGGACCACCTTAAGAAAAACATCCTAGCAGCAAGAACCACTTGGCACCTGAAGCAATCATCTGGAGAAACAGCAGAGTTCAATGTTGGCTTAGACGGGCAACAGACATACCATAATTTGGGGGAACTGACTCCACAGCCAATTTTTATGATTTTTAACTTAGGGGTTAAATCCCCGTGATACCTAATTTATGCTCTGGAGTTTAGCCTAAGAGAGGGAAACCATCATACTGTATTATTATTATTATTATTATTTATTGAATTTATATACCGCCCTATCTCCCTTACGGGACTCAGGGCGGTGAACAGGCAATAATAAAAACCACGATAAATATACGCAAGTATATACTGTAGCCTGGCACCTATTTTCCACAATTTCAGATGGCAGCCATGCTACTTTTTCTCTTTTCAGGTTGAAAACGTGGCGGGCAAGAATTCTCCAGCGTCAAGAAACTCTGCTCACTCCGTGTGGGTTTATGTATTGAAAGTAGCAATTTTTATTCGAGTTAAAATTATTTACAAAAAAACCAAAAGACATACTTCATGAAACTGGTACAAACTATTAATTCCTGCCGTTGGCTTTTTTTTTTTTTTTGCTCCAAAGATCACAGCTGAGAAATACTGTATAAAATAAAAATAGGATTGGATTCAGAAAAAGTACTCTACGGTTCTAGTTTCCAATTGCGCTTATTTACACAAGATATTTACAGTGGAAAAAAAAAAGTTTTATTTTAAAACTTTTTTCCAATTTGAAGGTTGGCCTCAAGTACCCATTGAAATGCAGAGTTCGACGAGGGGTTTAAACAAGGAAAATACACTTGCAGCTCCGCGGGGGGGGGCATTTCCCCTGACCCCTTTATCCCTCAAGACCATCTGCATCCGTTCAGTGCTTGTTAATTAAAAACTGTCAACACAAGACTTTAATCATTTCCCATTCAGGTCATTTACCAGTGTAACAGAGAAGGGTGGGTCCTGATATACCCCAGAATTGCTTTTAATCGTCCTTCGCCATGGCGCGCGCACACACAAAAAGCCTAACTTAAAAAGCTACATGAAATCCAAAAACTCAAACTGGAAGCCGGTTTGCTCTACAAACTAAAAATGCCAGAAAAATCTTGCATTGCAAAAAAATAATTTACAAAAGTTCAGCTTTATTCCGTTGTTCTCCCTTGTCCTTCACCCAAGGGCAAACACACAGCCTCCCGCTGTCTTTTCTAAGTTACACTGGTACATTTTGGGGGTTTCCTTAAAGAGGTGAGAACATTTATTTTTGTTTGTTTTTTTAAAAAAAGAAGAGGATAAGCTTTTGTTTCTAATCACTTACTTCCATACCGAAATTCCCAACAATCCGCATTATCAAAAATAGGAAGACATAGAAGGCAGCCACTGTTGTGTAAAAAAATGTACAGCTTGCACTGATACAAAAGCACGTTTGTAATTTTATACACGGAGATAACAAGATCTAAAAAGCAGGTTAGAGATTTTTTTTTTTTCTGTTATTTCTCCCTTCCCTCATTATACATAGAACTTAATATTTCTTATGGCTTCAAGTTTTACAAATCCAAAGTAGGATGATGCAACTACCTAAAACACAGGTAATGTGAAAAGTGTCGGTGACACACACACATGTCCCCCCCCCCAGAAACTTTTGTGAAGATTCAAGACCAGCTTAATAAAAAGTCATGAGCAATTCCGTCAGTCAGGACATCATTATGAGTGCAAAAAAGAGTCCCTAAATGTTCAAACCACAACGGAATGAAACAAACAAAACAAAAACAAAAAAAAGTATTTTGCAGGGATCTTCGTTCCACAAAAGTCTCAACACAATCCTTCGCTGTGAACTAGACTCTACACTGAACAAAATTTTTGCTATATTCAGCTATTTAAGGCTTTGTATTGTATGCGTTTTACCTGCTCAAAACTCAAAATATAGAAAGATTTACCTTAACTGGAAAAATTTGTCCACCGGGATGGTTTTTAGCTCCATGTTTCTTTGAAACAAACTGACAGCATTGAAAAGTTTTTGCTTATTCCGAAGTGTAAATTTACCCTGGGTTGAATACGGCTTCACACTAACCTTGAGCAGGGCATGTTTTACTGCATTTTTAAAAAAATATAGATATAGACACCGGCCAGGAGGGGATCTTATTCTTCCTGCATGCATCTCTCTCAGAGCTCTGACGTGTTATACGGTCTATCGGTTTACAGTACTTAGGCCACAACAATTGCAAAAAACTGAGAAGTAGTTTCCAACCACCCAATTCAGTATAAAAAATAAACTATCCGAGCCTCAGCCTCTTTGGATTCCAACACATTTTAAATATAGACAGTAGTTAAGATCACAAAAAAGTATTTTAAAAAAATTCTTTTTTTCTGGTTTTTTTTTTCNAAAAAAAAAAAAAAAAAAAAAAAAAAAAAAAAAGCCAGACAAATAAAGAGGGCGGATTAAAAAAAAATATTGCCAAATTCATGGAAATACTGCGTTTGAGTTTCTAGAAAAACATTTGCAAATTCGCTCGGTACACAGATTTGTTTTTTCCTTCCCCTCTCTCATTTTTGATAAAATTGCAGATTGAAGTGGTCACGATGCTTCGGAAAAAAAACGCCAGGTGAGCGGGGAGACCAGGTAGCCTTAAAAATCCAAAGAATAAAAAAATGAGACTTGAGGAATGCTCTCGGCGCATCCCTGAGCACATCGGTCAGCATCTCCTGCTTTTTCCCCAAAAAGAAAAAACACCCCCGTCCGAGTGCCTGTGTGGCCCAACAGGGGGTTAACTAGCAGTGTTCCAAGTATTCAATCACTCGGGAGATTGACTTCTGGCCGGTGGTTCCAACTGCGCACTGGGTGAGCAAGGAGACAAAAACAGAAAAAAATGTTAAGATGCGTTCCTCCTTTCGAAGGATGCTGGAACATGTCATTTTTCTGCTGACCTGCTTAACCAGTCTGGTTAAGGCCCCGTCGTTTTCTGAAAATAATGCTGCTTGCTCCTTACTTCCAGAAAAGCATCGTTAGGGGCCGTTTGAAAGAAACCATGTTCCAGATCTCTCCGGAACATCCTATTCCCCCCGACGGTAGAGGTTGCGCATCCTTGTTTACATTACAACAACACAAATTTGGGAGCAAGATCAATTAGACTGGCAGTTTCCCATTTTGAAGAGAGAAAAAAAATCCCAGTGGCTTAACAGAATTTGCTATTCGTACAGCAGACTTCGTATAAAATCCTTGCCACAAGAATCCAGCCGTTGCTTAGTAAAAACACCAGAGAATAAACTACCACCATTCACAGCCATAAACAAGGCAGAATTTCTCTCTGGCTGTGCCTAATTCCCAAAGCCGAAGTCTAATACAGGTAGTCCTCAACTTATGACCCAAAATTTTCTACTGCTAAGCAAGACATTCGTTAAGTGGCGTTTTTGCATTTTGCAACCTTTCTCGCCCCAGTGGTTAAGGGATTCGCAGCAGTTGATAAGTTAGTAATGCAGGTTGTTAAAAGTGAATTTGGCTTCCCCCATTTAGTCTGATTGTCAGAAGGTCGCAAAAAGAGGATCACGTGACCCTGGGGCGCTGCGACCGTCGTAAATACGAGTCCATCGCCAAGCGTCTGAATTTTGAATACGTGACCGTGGGGGATGGTTGCAACGATCGTACGTGTGGAAAATGGGTCCTAATTCATTCCCCCCCCCCCAAAGCCATTCTAACTTTGAATGGTCGCTGAAAGTCGAGGACCACCTGTATGTGGTCTGTTGGTGAACTTCTAGAAATCGGCCCGCCCCCCATGCTGCAAAAAAAATAATAATGCAAACCAGCCTACTGAAACTAGTCAGGCAATAAATCATTAGGATCCCCGAAGATCTACTTACAGTAAGGTTCATGAAACTAAGAAATTTTTTGAGCATTTCGGTCATGATCGAAAAGTCCCCGTTGGGTAAGTATGTCCTTACAGTAGTCACGTTGATCTAAGGAAATAAAATTCTGCATTAGGACATTTCCGAGGTGGTCGGAAAAAATATTTTGCAGAACGTTGACACTGGAAGAAAGAAACGCCCGCGCGTTAACCCACTCCACCTCTTTCCCAACACAGGACCGATGTCCACATATCTGCACATCTTTAGTAACTGGATACAATAAAGCTTCTCAGCCATGCGCGGCTATTTTTCCCCCCCCTTTCATAAAAGGTCGGAAGCTGTCCCTGCTCTGGAGAACAGGAAGCTGGCCCCTCCCTCTCCTTTCCACCTCCACCTGTTTTCACGGGCGGTGAAAATAAGAACATAAATAAGGATATGTAAAGAGCTATGAAGCCTTTTCCAAAAGCTTTGCCATTTTAAAATCCGCTCTGGCCACAGATGATCCCAATAATACCTAAGCATCGTTCCAGGTGAGATTGCAATTGTCAGAGAAAAACACCGTTCAAACAGCAAAGCATTTGTGGTGTAAGAGTAATGTAGGATCAAATATTTTATTCCCTCATTTGCTTGGGATGGGATTTCCAGCCTGCAGCAGACACAGCCATGAGCACTGACAAGATTGGCGGGAGGGGAGGATAGCCACAGTCCCCAGCCCTAAACAACGACATAAATTTGGCAGCACCCTGGACAATTAGGAGTGGGAAGACGTAGGTCCACATGTTGAAGTTCATTCCCTTAAGACTTTTTAATTTTGGAATCCCACTACTCAAAACATTTAGCCCTGCTCACTGGCGACGGTGACATTTAAGGGGCCTTGGGCAACCACAGGGTGGACAGGTTTTTGAAAGTGTAGTTCATGTGCTAAACAAAAACAAAACAAAACCCCACACATACACACCCGCTCTCGAGTTAAACGAGGTTGATCTAGGATGGGAAATTAGCTTGGGGAGCAGCTTCCAGCAGCCAGAGCAAACAATACAGAACACAAGGCAGGCCTTAAGTGTGTTTTGCAAACACTTTAGAAGTGCTATTAGACTATAGCCTACCAAACATTAGATTAAAAAGCACACCGACTGTCTGATGAATGGCCTTAGTATTAATTCATTGGAGAGCACTGTATTTG